AAGTAGGTCTGCACTGTATCACAATTTTTTCCAGAGCGTTGGCAAATACTTTCCCATTATTCTTTGGTTCTGGAAGTTTTTCAATAATAGCTTGTAATTCTGCAACTTTCCATGTACTGTAAACATGCTGTACGCCTCCCGTACCATTTGGACATTCTATCATTGGTCCAAGCATCAAGTTGTTTACTTCAGATTGTTCTTCAGGCACAGATAAGAAATGTGGCTGTGGTGGGGCACCTGACTGATAAATAGTTCCTGATCTTGTCTTTTCATTGTTTGGAGTAGTACTGGCCCAGAAAGGGAAAGGGGATTTTACTGTGCTTGGAGAAGCAGGCTGCTTCATAGCTTGTTCTAGCAGCCCCCTGTATGGTGGGGGTGACAAAGCCCCAAGGTTATTCGCAGCAGTCTCAGCTTTGTTTACATTATCCATCTCTTCAGCTTCTCTATGTCTATCAACAGATGAGGTTGCTGTGCAGCAGGCTGAGCTCTGTTAATTTGTTGTGGAGGCTGTATTGGACAGTCCAGATCAAAGTCAACTTTGTGAACACTGATCATCGTTGTTTTCGGCCGGCTATGAATCATCTGATTCGTGTGGCTGACCTTTCGACCCATGGCGCTCCAGGCCCCAAGGCACTCTGTCATGTACTCAAAATCCCAATCAGGGGGGACAACCGGGCGAGGCTGATCAATGAGGTCTTTCAACATTGCTATGTCAGACTTTTCAAAAGATCCATCTTGAGACCATTTTGGCTCAAAATCTGCAACAACCCTACAAAATGGCGTTGTGTAATACATTGAGCCTGTCACCTCTTCAATCAGGCCTCAAGGAGTCATTTTTATCATCTTTTCACTTGCATCATCAGTACTCAATGAGACAAACACTCTAACGCTATTACAAACTTGCTCAACCCTCTTCCTATTTTCAGCTTCCTTTCCCCAAAGTTTCAAACTCTCAAGCTGTTTAGACCATTTCTTGTTAACTTTTTTGCTGGCCTTAACTTTTGCTTTTTTAATCTTTTCTTCAAATCTTTTCAACATTCTTTTTCGCAGTGATATCAAGGAGGCATGGTGAAAAATCCCACTTTGAGGAAATCCCAAATTGCCATGCCATTTTGGCAAAAAATGTTATGGCTGATTTACCATATTTGTCATACATGCATTTGTCTGGACCTTGGATGTCCTTCTGACGGCTACTATTAGTGCCCATAGCGACCCCCTAATGATTTGTAACCCTTTGATTTAGTTATTCTTATTTTTACTTATATATCATATATATATAAAACAAAAATGTATTGTACTCTTCTTTCTATATCTATTCTAGGTGAAAATAAAAACTAAATCTATTTATTTCAATATAGCTACTTCATATACACATCACGTGTTACTTTCCCATAATGTTACTGTATGTAATATAACTTTTTCCCTTGAAATATAATTAGGGACAATTCTTAGTTAAATGACAAATACCATGAAATTCACAATGCAATGCAATGGTAACAATCAATTCTCAAAGACTGTTTAAATAGCAACAAATCATTGTCTAATATTTATTTCAATATTTCTAAATCACACATTAATCGATTAATTTCAATGTATTCACTCCAACTTCAGATCACTCATTGATCTTCTACTCCTTATTTTTGAACAGGCATCAGAGAAAAGAGCAAACAGACACACTGCTGCTCTCTTGGCTGATAAAACAAATGGTCTCCTCTTTTACAGAATCGGAAAAAGGGGGGGGAAATACTTTCACAGACACACCCCGGCTGGAGCTCTCAGCCTTTTCAGGAGAAGGGGGGCTCCTTTGACCAATTAATAACAAACTATGGTATACCAAAACATTTAGCGCTTTATGCTGAGTATCTAACTCATTACGGCCTGACAAAACATGGTTTCCTCCACTTTTGTATAGTGAATTCACAGAGTCGCGAGCAGGACCGGAACAGAATGTGCACTTAGCTCGCAAAGCAAATATGTATTCCTCAGCCTATACATCTCTGAACCCTAAGACAAATCATTAGGATCTTCTCAGGCAGAATTCAAGACTACGAGCAAATACAGTGATTCCTCCAGCATAACATGTCATTACAGCTAGCAAAGATCATATTATAGCAGAATACACGTGATCCTTTCAGCAAAGATCACATTCCCTCAGTCAACCATAAGCTTTTCAGGCAGACTACGAGCAGAATACAGTGATCTCTTCAGATCAACATTTATCAACATAAAACAAGACCTTTACGAATCAACAATGACAACCAACAGACAGAACAAACAACCATCAAATGACAATCAACAAACAGATGTTCAACCATACTGTAGCTGTGCCCCAAATTCACTCCTCTGCTTTTTTTCTTACATTTTGAAAAATAACCAATACAACTTCAAAAATCTATTTCATTCCAAATAAGTTTTGCTTACTGTGAGCCGGTATTTCTTCTGTGGAAGTCTCAAGTCTGGTTTCTCAATTCCTTGAGATTTACCACAGCCGTCTCAGGGCTGCCAGGCCAAGGGAGTTGAGACCTCCAGGGAGAAACACAGCAACTCGCAGCATCGGCATCTCGGTAGGACCTCCAAAATGTTGTGGCAATTCAGCACTCACAACAGGAAAGAATAAAACGGAGAGGAATCAATCAAATACAAACACAGATATAGTTGATTAATTATTATTTCGTTGTACAGCAATCAATAATAATGAAGAAACATTACCTTGCACACAAGCAGTCAATAGTGGTAATGCTCCAACGAGTAAAAGTTTTTCACATCATATATAACAGCTGTAATGAACGCACACATCATTTTCCTTACATTAGCCAACACACCCACATATGTTCCAGATGTTGAAAGGTCATTATCTCATGAGCTCTTTAGGTGTAATTCATACCCTGTCAGGATATGAACCACCTAACTAACAAGACTTAACTGTATTATCCTGAGTAGGGCCTCTTTGCACTTCCGCTCACCCCTAATAATTGCGGAAGAGACGATGGGCCTCTCTTCTCTGGAAACTGTAATTCAATAACATACCTAATTATATTGACTAGGTCCAAGACTGATATAACAGTGTGTTTCCTGTTTCCTGCAGATGTACAGCAGCTGGTGGTGGTTAAAGAAGAGCCTCTCCCTGACCAGCAGGAGTGGAGCACCAGTCTGGACCAGGAGGACCCAGAGCCCCCCCCACACATTAAGCAGGAACAGGAGGAACTCAGGATCAGTCAGGAGGGAGAGCAGCTTCAGGAGCTGGAGGAGGCTGATATCACCAAGTCCACTTTCACTCCTGACCCTGTGAAGAGTGAAGATGAGAAAGAGAAACCTCAGTCCTCTCAGCCTCATCAAAGACAAACTGAACACATGGAAACAGAAGCTGATGGAGATGACTGTCGAGGACCAGAACCAGCCAGGAACTCAGATCCAGAGAGCAGTTTACAACCAAAGACTGAGGACCACACTGGAGACTCTTCTGAAGACACTGATGACTCTTCTGAACCTGACGCTGAACACAGTGCTGATTGGAAGGAGACCAGAGAACCTGCCTCAGGCTCAAACTCACTGAAAAATAGACATGAATCTGTCAGTGATCCACGACGTAGTGCTGAAAAGAAACCATTCAGCTGCTCAGTCTGTAAGAAAGCTTTTTCATGGAGGGCACATTTAAAGAGACACATGAGAGTCCACACAGGAGAGAAACCATTCACATGTACACTCTGTAAGAAAGCTTTTTCACTGAGTGGAGGTTTAAAGGAACACATGAGAATCCACACAGGAGAGATACCATTCAGCTGCTCAGTCTGTAAGAAAGCTTTTTCACTGAGTGGATATTTAAAGATACACATGAGAGTCCACACAGGAGAGAAACCACACAGCTGCCCAGTCTGTAAGAAAGCTTTTTCCCATAGTGGAGATTTAAAGACACACATGAGAGTCCACACAGGAGAGAAACCACACAGCTGCTCAGTCTGTAAGAACACTTTTTCACATGGTGGAAATTTGAAGAGACACATGAGAGTCCACACAGGAGAGAAACCATTCACCTGCTCAGTCTGTAAGAAAGCTTTTTCACATAGTGTAAGTTTAAAGGAACACATGAAAATCCACACAGGAGAGAAACCATTCAGCTGCTTAGTCTGTAAGAAAGCTTTTTCACAGAGAGGACATTTAAAGTCACACATGAGAATCCACACAGGAGAGGAAAAATAGATCTACAAAGTAACCCTAACCCTAACCCTAACCCAAAGTTTTTGACAAAAGATTTAAATGGCGTAATCGTTTAAAAAGACCAAGTGTGTTGGTAAGAGAATACATTTGTCTATTTTGTATCCTAATGCCGTTACATGTAATACGTTACTCCCTAAGCCTGTTTTCACCCACCTGCAACCGATTCACTAATAATCACAAATGTTCATTTCTTCGACCCCTTGAGACTATTTCTTGTTTAATAATCGTTACATCTCCTCAGGAACAAGTTCCTGTGTCCTGCGTTTCACCTGCTGATCACCCACTGCTCATTTAAGGTGGACTCACCTTTACAAGGGACCAGTTAATTGTTATCAGCGTGACAACGATGGAGAATTATCAAC